GCAAGCACCTCGGAATCAACGTCATGGTCACCACAGGAGGTACTGGTCTCCGAGACGATATCATCCGCCTCCAGGACCCCGTCCATATTGTGGTCGGTACCCCCGGCAGAATCCTCGACCTCGCGGGCAAGAACGTTGCCGACCTCAGCGAGTGCCCCATGTTCATCATGGATGAGGCTGACAAGCTTCTCTCCATCGAATTCACCCCCGTCATCGAGCAGCTCCTCCAGTTTCACCCCAAGGACCGCCAGGTCATGCTCTTCTCCGCCACCTTCCCCCTCTCTGTCAAGGACTTCTCCGACAAGAACATGGTCAGCCCGTACGAGATTAACCTCATGGACGAGCTCACCCTGCGCGGTATTACCCAGTACTACGCCTTTGTCGAGGAGAAGCAAAAGGTCCACTGCCTAAACACCCTGTTCTCCAAGCTTCAGATCAACCAGTCCATCATCTTCTGCAACTCCACCAACCGTGTCGAGCTGCTGGCCAAGAAGATTACCGAGCTGGGCTACTCATGCTTCTACAGTCACGCCAAGATGGCCCAACAAGCAAGAAATCGCGTTTTCCACGACTTCCGCAACGGCGTGTGCCGCAACCTTGTCTGCTCCGATCTTCTCACCCGTGGTATCGATATTCAAGCTGTGAATGTCGTCATCAACTTCGATTTCCCCAAGAACGCTGAGACCTATCTGCATCGCATTGGTCGCTCTGGTCGTTATGGCCACTTGGGTCTGGCCATCAACCTCATCAACTGGGATGACAGATTCAACCTCTACAACATTGAGAAGGACCTTGGAACAGAGATCCAGCCCATTCCTGCTAGCATCGACAAGTCCCTCTATGTCTACGAGAACCCCGAGTCCATCCCGAGACCCATTTCCAACTTCCGCACCGGCCAGCCCAGCCAGGGCCAGCCGCAGCAGCAGCAACACCAGCAGCCTGGTCAGATCCAGGGCCAGCAATTGCCTCTGCAGGGTGGCCCCGCACCGGGCAACTGGCAGACTCAGCAGCCCCAGCAAGGCCAGCAGAATGGATACCAGGGCGGCGGTAGAGGCCGTGGCCGTGGCCGTGGCGGCTACCGGGGTCAGAACCGTGGTGGCTATGGCGGCCGGGGACGTGGTCAAGGCCAAGGCCAGGGTCACCCCCAACCCCAAGGACAAATGTCCTAAGGTTCCATCCATCTCTTCTCTTTAGAAAGGCGTTGTGGCGTATGCAGTCGCGACGGAACACGTGGCTGCGTTTTGTTTGGATTGTACATAGTTCCTCTTCTTTTCATTCTCTCCTGATTTTGGAGGCGACACGGCACGGTTAGACTGGGTCGGGCATCTCATCCATGCCCATCATGAGCTTTTAGGTCCCCCTCACCACTCACGATCACGAAACACGAAAAAACACTCGATCAGACCTATACGACTCGTCGCTAAGCAACAAAAGCTTCGTCATATATTCGCAAACTTTTGGCCTGTACCATACCCCAACGGATCTTACTGGTCTTTTGTTTGGCTTCTTTTCTTTTTCCTTCGGCCTTCTGACGACGGGCACTTTCTACCCGGACTGGAAATGCATGCTGTCTGGAGACGACAGAACGAACAAGACGACAGGCTGAGCCATCGAAAAAAAACAAACATCAACCACGGGGCGTGACGTCTGGCGTCAGACGAGCCACCACACCCCTGGCATGGAAATAACCCGCTCCCATCTTATCATGTCATGTGCTTCTTTAACGACGGCGTTTGGGGGAAACAAGCGGCTGAAACGGTATCAGCCCGGAACGGCGTTCGCATGGATGGCGGGCTACATTTGATTTCTGGTGGACAAAAGGGGAGTTGGCCCTCGCGGTAGAGGGCGGCAACACTACGGGATGAGGGCGGTTCGGTACCTCATCTCTGGTTCATGCGCCGCGGTGTCTTTTGAGTATTAATCAATCGATCGCGGAGACGACTGATGTTGGGATATGACACGGAGGGCGACGGGGTGGCTGGCATCCAATGGCGTCTGTCGGAGCACGATTTTCATCGTCGTGCATTTTCTTTGGCAGGGGAAGATTTGGTTGGAGGCCCTCCGTCCGGGGTAGGAGGAGGAGCGTTTGTCGTCGGTCGACTGACAAAGCCAAGATATTGCTTCTTGGCGCCCGAACTCAAAGCGGAGGTTTCGACATGATCCGTTACGCATTCTACGCCTATGCCCTGCTTCTTGCGAGAAGGCAGGCTCGACGAACAACCGCAGAAATACCCGAGTATCATTACGCTTTTTCCGGCTCTCTTGGGCCCAACCTGACCCGGCTCTTTGAGTGTCTCGTCTGCCTTGCGAGGTGGCGCAGGTCTCTTGGATGAGCTGGCTTGGCTTGGGTTGTTGGGAGAGCGAGCGGCCTCTTTTGGTACTCACATCAACAAGAAAATAACGCAAAAAAAAACCGTTTTGGGAGAGAATCGCTGGATGGGCTGGATGGCTTTCGGACTGGGGTGGTCCTCAATGTGGCATCTACTGTCTACGGGCAGAGTGTCATGGGCCGGAACTGGTGGGCTAGATAGTTGTCTGAGCATTTGGAGTGGCAATCAAAACACATTTCTCTCTCATGATCATTTCTACCGCGATTTCTGATGCCATGTGTGCTTGTGTCTTGGCTGGGCCAGCACCTCGCTGTTTCGGTTCATCTGGTCGTCGTTACGAAGCACCATCGACGCGTCTACTGCAATCCAGGCTGCTAGTTGACATATCTGACGTTGACGCCACAGGTGGTCTAGTCATGGAATCTAGGGTCGTTACCGGAGAGCTGTTGATTAGTCCATGCCTTGGGAGAACATCTTACGTGACAGTCGTGAACTTCTTCGGAAGAAACGCTAAGATGAATGATGTATAGATCCTGGGTCCCACCCAATGCAGCTATCTATGCTGTGATGACTCCTTCTGTCGACGATACAAGGAGAAGAGGGTTAGTCTTAGCTTAGTAGGTACTTGCCTACCCCGAACGCGTGTCTCCAGGATGGATGGAGAGTGGGTGATCGGTGTATAAGGGCCTCATTCGTGCCGTTGGTGATGAGGCTGCCAGAAGGAATTTTGGGATTTTGTCGATGATCGTCCAGTGTGGTGTCGCTAAGATTATGCGGGGATGCAAGTCCACGACCATGAGGGAGGCTATCCGCCTTCGGATTTAGATATAAGTCTATGTTATTCGCCGATGAGGTGTCTTTGGGTCGCGGTTGTCTTCTTGGTCTCATTCGCGGTGGTAGATGCAGGGGATTATGGGCGTTGCTGGGGGTTGAGTCTGAGGATCGGGCGCGGCTTCTTTCTGGAGAGCCTTTGAGATGTGATGTCGTGGTTGATGGCGTCAAGCCAACCTACTCACACATTTCACTCTCGATAAAAGTCCGTCTCACAGTGTCTGGCTTCTCTGATTGGCTGGCAAATGAAGGATCTTTTATATCTACTGGCCTGCAGTCTAGGCATCCAGGTAGGAACCCCAAGTCCGATACCTCTTCAAGTCCAAGGCTCTTGGAACCCAAATTCTTCAGGAAGACGTCCTCATCAGCACCGGGATTGGGCACCGTCTTCCTCACATCACTACTACGGCAGGCAAAAAGATTCAGATCAGAGTATAGTCACTGTATGTACGCGCCGCTACCTAGATTTCCTGCACGGCACATCGGAGCTCACGAAGGAGCACTTTTGCTTGTAAGGCGAGGGATCTAGTTTTTAAAAGCGCGGGACGTGTACGTATTTCGGGTAGAAATATAATCACGCCGGTGTCGTCAATCTCCGGACCCTGTGAAAGCCAAATAACCATTTGAAAGGTCAAAGTGGCACAAAAAAGTCCGGGTTTGGGGAGGTTGGTCACGTTGATCACGGTCACAGAGCAGGGAGAACACGGCTGATGTAGTAGACTGGCCCGGCGCTGTTGCGGAGCGCTCTCGACCTACTTACCTCTGGCGCGCTCCCGACTCAATCTATCTTTCAGATTAAGAATTTTGTCGCGGAGTGAAGCGCTCGATGTCTTGTTTGGCAGGAGTTTGACAGGCCAGAAAAATAAAAAGAGAGAAAAGGAAGCTTGGGGACGCGTTGCGGTATTTATCCACCCGAATATTTCGTACCCATACCTTATCTGAATATGCATCTATCCGCACGTCCCGCACTGGCAATTGCTAAAGCGATGCAATGGATCCCGATTCCATTCACGGCTTAGCCTCGCTTTTTGTCTGCCAACTTCTTTGGATTTGATGCCAATGACAAACTTCCTATCATTGGACTCGCCGTTTGCCGCCCGTCTTTCCAAGGATGGTAGAGAAGAAGAGTACCAATTGTTGATGAAGCTGCAGCCCACCGGCTATCGTTCAGATTGATCGTATCTAATCACCTCCGTCGGCGATCGTTTGGAGAGCGGGTTTTGACATTTCCGAAGCCAGTTCTCGGTGTGCCTGGGCTACCATAACGCGCATCCCGCTTCCGAACCGAGAGCCCCTGAAGTCAGAACTTCATCTTCCCGCCTTGAGCGGACCTGTGCTTCCCAAAACTTACACGAATAGGCGCGGCTCATATCCAAAATTAACAACATTACAGTTGAGCAAGGAAACCTATTTCTAACTCCAGTCGTTTCCTTGGCAATCGTTATACAAGGTGACTGTCCAGTGGCTGTCCTGCGATTGGCAGTGAAAGGATTGATTCTCCGTGATTTAGGTACTGCGTCGGTATGAAGTCTTACCTGGCAAAATGGCATTGATAGATGTGGGGACATGCTACGATATGCAGAGCCATAGGCGATGGGAGATTCTGCCTCGATGTCGCGTTATGCTGGGCAACAATGCTTGTTTGCTCGTTGATCTGCAGCCGTGATTCGCTGGACGAGAAGTACGCCTTGCATCGCTTGTGTGGTTCTCTAGCCGCCGAGGTGCGGTCCAACCGAAGTGTGGCCCAACTCTCTCAATACCTCACTGCCAGCCCGGTCAAAGTTTTCTATCCATGAACAAGAACAGGAACCATAACGAATACCATTGACACCAAAAGACATGGTAAGTAGCCCTGTTCGCCGAAAACAGAGCTTGGTGCAACCTCATTCCGCGACAGCAGACTCACAACTGAGAACAGGCAGACGCGATAGGGACCGCCGCGAGCGTTGTCGGCCTCATTGGCGCGCTGCTGAAGACCATTCAAGAAATTCAAAAAGCCCGAGAACGAGTAAAGAACGCGCCAAAAAGGCTCGACGAAATCTCCGTGTTACTCCAAGTCACCTCGCAGACGGCTAGTCTCGTCAGAGAGGAGCCCAGGTTACAGACACCTGCGGTTATCCATCAGCTCGAGATACTGAACACAATCGCGGAGGAGCTGAAACAGCTTTTAAAAAAGCTGGACAAGAAGAGCCGGAAACACCCGCTTCGGAAACTCGCTCGTGCCGTGAGGATACAAGATGCGGATGACACTGAGCTGGCCAACATTACGAACCGTTTATCCGATGCCAAAGCGGAACTAGGCACTCGAATGCTTGTCATCCACGTAGGTCTGACGGGAAACCTAGAGGATGGCTTCAGAGTTATGCTCAAGGTTCTTGAGGAAATTAACTCAAAAGTGTTCCATGTGCTGGGTGAAAATCTTCATCTGATTGACCGACTTCGAAGCAGAGGTTTTACAATTGTTGGTATGCGTACACCTTATGAATCCCAAATTCAAGAAAGATTACTTCCGCTTACCATTTTCCGCACAGGGAATGGCGCTATCTCTCTCGGGCCAGCTGATATTCGATCCTTGCAATTGGAAGACGAGCTCCCATCCCAACAGCACCTCTCCGGTGGCAGTACGCACGAGCCTTGGTTGCGGTAGAAACTTGAGACTGGAGCTAACCATATTGTCTTTAGGTCATGTATTGAACTTGTCGGAGTTCGGCGACTCCGGGTTTCTCTCCAACCTGTCTTCCATCCATCCCAATCTAAACACAGCATCTCATCACCAGTTTGGATACCAGAGCTCGGCAAAATCTTTCAACTCTAGCAGACTTGCTAGTGATCTGCAGGAACAAAAAGGAAAGCCGTTTATCTTCGTTGACGATGAGACTGGGCTCGGCCATTCCATGTTCTCATTGTCGGTTCTTACGCCTGTTAGGTTTGATCGAGCGGATATCACGGCTTACTTCTTTTGCAAAGATCCTCAAAGCGATCCAATATCACCCATCACAACGTCAACAATCCTCGGTGGATTGGCCTACGTCTTGCTTCGGCATTCCGATGGACCGGAGCTTCTGACGCGAATGAACTGCACCTTTGGGCACGAGCTCAAAATATCTAGAGCCGAAGTCTCCCGAGCCGGCTTATTCCATCGCATGCTAGGTGAAATTTTTCGACATGCTGCTTCGCGGCAAAGACGCCCTCTTGTGATCGTAATCGACGGAATAGACTTCGAAGGCAGCGAAGGGGACCGTGCAGACTCAAATATCTCTCGCCTGATATACCACATCCAGCAGCTCCAACATGAGAATCCGGAAACTTGTCTGAAATGGGTCTTGACCGGAAAATTCTCAGATACCTTACGGGGGCGGCTTGTGGAGTTAGCAACGGGTGCAGACACCACTGAGATCGTCCTCAAACCTGACGATGTGGCAGCAGCTTTTGGACTCCAAGAAGCTATTCACATAGTTGCGAAGACAGCAGCAGTTTGGGGACATTTTATGGAATATGGAGTGACGGCTCAAACAAATCCTACGAACGATGACATCTCGTGGTTTCGTTATTGCAAGTTAGCACAGTCATGGTGCGCGAAGCCAAGAGAGAGTGAACACGATTCAAGAGTGTTGTGGCTTCGGAAAGGTCTTCACTCATTCTCGGCCGCAAATGGTATCGGACTCCAAGTAGCTTCAGGCAAGCTCCTCAGCAAGGAACAGTCACCGGTTGTGGCGTTCTTCTCCTTTGCGACATTCGAGGCCGGCGCGAATCAGTCACCAACATCTGGTCGTGAGCAAATGAATCAAGCACAGGTTGTTTGGTGCATTGTCGCACAGCTCCTTCGCGGGCAATTTGGGCCCGAGTCTTCGCTCGCTGAGATTCTTGTGCGGCTTTCTCCAACAGAAAGAGAAGCTCTCAATTCAATCTGCTCAGCCTTCGGGGAGCCAGAGAGTTCCTTCAAGCCCAGTGCTAGCGGCGACGATCCTGCTTCGCCTGTGCCGGAAACGATCACTTCCTGGTATTGTCAAATCAGAGGTCTCACTCGGGATTATTTTTCAAAGGTTGCTACTGTCATGAGCGCTTGTCTGGAGGATATCAGGAAGGATGGCAAATGCGTCGTGCTGATTCTCGACGGTCTCGAGCTTCAATCCCAGAGTGCTCGTATGAGACTGCTTACATGGATCGCCAAGCTTGGCCATGGTGTCAGAGCTCTCCTTTGCATTGATGATACTCGCAAAGACAGCACTGGCGTCGAGTCAAGAGAGGCGGAGGTCATGTCGAATGCTCTCATTGTGGACGAAACTACGGAGTGGCGAGGTATACATCCCAGTTTTTTTTAGTGTTACACAACGAACTTGGAGCCCTAACAGCAGATAGAATGCATTGAAAGCCTGCGGTTCGATGGCATGCACCAAAGGCGTGATCAAGTGGCAGATCCGCTGCCTGCCACCAACCAGTGGCTCTGGGAAACCGAAGAGTTCCAGGAGTGGAGATCTTCTGGTAAAATCTTGTGGATTATGGGTAAAGCGGGAAGCGGCAAGTCGGTTCTAGCGAAGAACATCCAACAACGTCTTCAAAGGGATGTTCCACACGGCGATTTCAATGACGATCCGTTCGTATGTGACTGGTTCTATTCAGCCCGAGGGCCTGACTTTGAAGCCAAAGATGCTTCAATGCTGCGCGCTCTGACTTTCAACATCCTCAGCTCAAGCAAGACGACGTTCGAACCTGCGACATCTATCTATCGGGCAAGATTTGATGCTGGACGGCAGGATGACGACTGGTTGCAGTCGGAGCTGTCAGACCTTTTCACGACACTCGCGCTCAGCCCTTCAACGCCCCGAACACTTGCAGTGGTAGACGCGTTAGACGAGTCAGAGAGCGTGACGGGACCATCAGGTCTCAAGTCGACGCACCAAAGTTTCAACTTGTTGCAGATGTTTACGGGAATTGCAAGTTCCCGGAACAGCCGCGTCCGCTTCGTCTTGCTCAGCAGGCCTGAGTCCGTCATCTCCAAAAGCCTGAGCAACTGCTTAAAGATCAAGATGGAGCAGTACAACAACCGGGATATTTCCATCATGATTGAAGGCGGTATCGAGAAACTTCGAGTGGCCTGGCAAGATGCCCTCTCCTCCGACTCCGACCATGACGACCTGGCGGATTTCTCCGAGGACCCTGACGCCTCAACTGACTCGCAGCGTTACGAGAGTCAGTCTCCCAATGACGACCTAGATATACAAGAGGAAACATTGGGCAAAATACGTGCGTACTTAGAAACTCATGCTAATGGCGTGATACTCTGGGTCATCCTGATTATTCGACAACTTTTGCTCTTGATTGAGGACGAGAAACTGTTTACAACCCAGGATTTGATGGACTCGCTTATTGCATCGCCGCCAGAGGTTGAAGAACTCTACATTAGATTTCTCGAAGGTCTCAAGGGTTCCAGTACAACCAAAGAACTGTCAAAGACCAAAACAATTTTGGAGTGGATTGTTGGGTCTCAAAGGAGATCATCCCTACAATTAACAGAGTTACGGGAAGTAATTGCGATCTCGGAGATGGGGGAGCACAGGCAATTCAGCCATGATTCCTTGGGTTCACGCAGGATGGTCATTGGAAAGCACCTTTGGCCCAAGTTCTGTCGCAGCATTCAGATGTACTGCGGTCCGCTGATAGAGATTTTGGATGATTGCCAAATGTCTAGACTGGACTCGCAACATAATGTCAGGCGCGCGGAACCGAATTGGACGATCCAGCTATCGCATCAAACAGTCAATTCATTCCTACAGACTCCAGGCCGCAGCGGAGAGTTTTACATTGAGGCAGCAAGAGCCGAAGAAATGGTCACGAACCAAGCCTACCGTTACCTTGGCATCCGTGCCTCATCACCCGGACAATTATCTTGCCGAAGCGCCGCAGAAGGTGAGAGGGACCCAATTCTGGCGCTGGAACTGGCCGTGGCACCTCTGCTCCAAGAGTCGTTGAAAATAAGCTTGCCTACAACTCGGCAATACACAAAGTCAGAGAAGCGGCCGCTCGCGAAGTTCGCCCTAGACGTTATACTGAAGTCTTGCCCAAATAGGAAGACCATAGTACAAACGCTAGGGACGGCTGATACAGATGGTTTGACACCTAAGGACTGGATAGCCATTTCATGGCTCGCAGACCTGTGCTTTATCCCAACGTTTCCGGGCACGAGCCTGGAATCGTTCATCTTCTTCTGCTGCGTAGAGGGCCAAACGGAGGCTTTGAAGACTTTTACACGGCTGAAGGATGAATATTCCGAAAAGCACAAGAAAAAATTGATGGCAAGCGGCAGAGATTATCAGATCATTTGCGGCGCCGTCAAGGCTTTCATGAAAGTCCGAGATAACAACCACTCTTGTTTGAACGGAACGTTGGAGGCATTACGTGCTCTCTGCGAGGAGAAACTCCAACAGAAGTTAAAGTACTGTAGTACCCGTGTTGAATCAAACGCGTCAAGAGGTAAATCAGACCATCGGGGCGACATTGATAACCTACAGGGTTTTCTGCTCTGCCTATCGGAGCAAAAAGACCAACTACGAGAGGCTGTACAGAATTGTCGTAGTTCTGAAAGAAAGCTGTCGGAAAAGTCCGAGAGGCTGGTCGGTTGTAGTGAGATCAACCAAGCGTTCCAGGAATTGTCTGTGTGGATGAAATCAAATCTGGTTCCTGAATTTGAGATCAGCGCGGATACATCGAGGCAAATCGGAGTGCCAGAATCCTTTCAGTTGGGGTCGACTAAAGATCTAAAAGTCTTGTTCGCTGAAATAGACCAAGCTTTTCCGCTGAGGATAGAACAGCGTTTGGAGACAACACAAACATGTTCCGGACGCATGTGCGAAGAATTTCTCGAGTCTGGGCTGCCAAGAGAGATCCTAATTATAGACGACCTCCTTTAGGGCAGGCCACAGCAACCTGAATAGCGGAATCAGGTGAAAGAATTCTCGCAGAAAAAGTTGAGAGTTCTTTCTCGAGAAGTTTCGTAACTCTCTGTCGAGATGCTAATGTGTCGATTCCTGAAAGCTGTGAGGCTCAGAAGACGTTTCGTGGAGACAAGATTGACAAGCGTTGAATCCATGCAGCGGCGGAATATACAACGCCAAGGGGCCTTTTGATTCAATGAATGATAGTGGTTTAGGTTCAGCCGGAAACAGCTTTAGCTCATTGTGTAGCCTACATGGAATCAATGACGAATGGTGTCCTCTAATCTTGATCGTAACAGCTCTGTCTTGTAATGGGAACACGCCCATGAAGCGGCATGTTCCGGACATTTCCTATTGTAAATGCACTTAGGGGAATTCGAAAATCGGTTCAATACTCTCGAAGATGGCTCGCAAATGAAATCCAGTATCACAACCAAGTATCTTGACTACACTTCTTACCTTTATCATATTCGACAAAGTCTGCCAAAGCAATAATGTTTAGGCTTTGGGATTTCTTCATTGAGCCATAACGACTCTTAAGTCCAACGAATCAAGCAACCCATCTTCAGACCATATACCTTTTGGTGGGAATGTGCATCTTACGTTGATAATCTTTGTTTACGAAAATATCTAGAGTTCTTTGTTCATGTCACATACAACGGATTGTTCTACCCGTCTCATGAAGCCTTGATAGTGTTGTCTTCCACGTGTGGCTGTATGAATGCCCGGTAACTATATCTGCCCCATGGAGAATGCACAATCCTACCCCTTCACCTTATAAAGCATCAACAGACCTGCCCTCTTTATGAAGCCTTCCTGAATCAAGCCGTGCCTAAACTCTTGCCAACCCTTTTTGTGCTTTATTTGAACACCATGCTAACCCTGGTAAGCTTTGACGTTCGCAATCGCCACATGAAGCCTAGATCGCTGTGCCCACTACACAAGTCTCTCAAGTTGTGCCCGCTCTGCGGAATCTCGAAAACTGGACCTGCCTCGTAGAGAAACTGAGAAGAAACAATGACTTAGAACAAGCTTCACCCTCAAAAGTTTTGCCAGTAATTCCCGCTTGACAAAGACTTCCTGGCTGCACTTGCACTTTGAAGTTTCGAAGTTTTTGCTCGCCTGGGAAGTCTCAAGAGCTGCACTCGCCTTGCATATTCTTAACAATTGTACCCGCTCTCAAAAGTTTTGAAGGTTGTACTTGCCTTGTTTGTAAACTCTGGTCAGTCCTACCCGCCTCATGAGACTTCAAAAAGTCTACCCGGTCTCTCGAAGCTCTTAAAGCCCCATCCATCTCATGGGCTCTTTCTTCTTCCAATTTTCCTCCTCTCAGGTTCCTCTCTTTTTACAGTCTTCTTCCACCAAAAAGATTTTTGGTGGCTACGCTCCAGTCGCCTTCAGCAGTATCAAACATCACCACCTAGGTAAGTAAACCCATCTCTTCTACGCTATCTCGATACTTGAGAGTGTCTTATAGATTTCTTCCAATATTCTCATCTCCTTTCTACTAGCGCCCTCGATTTTGGTGGAGAAAGCCATCACAAGCTGGGCTGCGAAAACGGGCCGTTCACAGGTGCTCGAGTCTCTTGAGTGAGAATCTTAGCTGATTGTTTCACAGCCTCCAGACATCTTTGCAGAAACTTCGCATACCATACGCAGTTACTACAATAGTAGGTCAGTTGTTCTATGTTTCATCGTTCATCTCGTCCTATGCCGAGATTCGCAAAAACCGGCCCTTTTGGTCTGCTTCTGCGTGTCGATAGCGATCTCCTTCTCGACCATCGACAGCGTGCTTCCCGATCCAAAGCAACGAGTGACACCAATATTTACTGACCTTTGTTATCCTTCCCTCCTTGATCTTCCTTGATTCGTTTCGAATTGCGGGAAGTAGCTGTCAGTTGCGCCTTCTAACTCAGTCTCCAAGAAAGAGTAAGGGAACAGAAGACAAGCGCGCTGTACAACTCTCTTCTGGTGCCTCACTCGCTCTTAGTCTTACCCTCGCTTTGAACTATCGTTTATTGCCTACATCTCCGCTAACTTTCATCAACAGTCCGCTCGAGCTCTTGCCATAAGCGTCAGTGGCAATGTCCCGTCAGGTCATCTCCAAGCCGACTATGGGACCGGCTCGCCGCACCCGCGCTCAAAGCCAGGCTCTTATTAACAGTGCCGGTGCTACAGCTGCCGTCAGCAAGATGACTGGCATTGCTGTGCCCAACCTCAACGGGTCGAACACCTCGACCACCGAGCCCCAGGCTGAGAAGGTCAAGAAGGCCGCGAAGGGCAAAAAGGTCCAGAAGCCGAAGCCTCGCTTCGACACCTTTCACCCGTTCCCCCGTCTCCCCAATGAGATAAAGGCCATGATTCTGTGCGAGTACATCGACTTCGGGCCTGCCATCATCTACGCTCACTGTAAGGCGAACAAGAACGTCCCGGGCCTCATCGACATCAACACCGGCTCCGACGGTAAGTGGTCGAAGTATAAATACATCGCCGGGCTCGCCAAGGGCATCCCCGACTTTAAAGCCTACGTCGAGCGCCAGATTGGCGTCTCCTTCAAGGACTTGTCCTACCGCCCCGAGGAAGGCGTCCGCAAGGATAAGGATCTCATGGTTCTTTCCTTCAACGACAAATCGGGCCGTCACCTCGACTGGTACAGCGATTACCAGCGGAAGCTTAACCGCGAGCTTTTCATGCCCGGCATTGAGAACATTGGCATCATGTACGATCCGACCCGCCTTCGCGGTCTGTGTTCAGACTCTGGATTCCCTGGAATTCACTTCCCGGCCTCTTATGATCTCAGCATGCTTGTCAACAATCTCCGTGACATGAAGAACTTCTACCTTCTCGTCAAGTTGCGCGGCGGCAGTCAGACTGAGCAGAAGAAGTGGATGAAGAAGCGGCTTAGTATGTGCTACCGCAGCTGTGGGCACGTCCATTATGGCTCTCACTTGTACTAACAAGAACACAGGCATTGCGAAGCGTTGCAACAACAATTTCGTGGTCTTCGAAGACAAGCAGAGAACTTGGGTGGAAATCTCTCGGAAGACCGTCAAACACCAGGCGTATAGCTCTGTTCTGGGAGACGCAGGCAAACTCCTCAGAAAAACCGAGCGGTACTACCTTTCAGCCAGCAGACTGTTGGGTGGACCCCCCAACGTCCAATTCCGCATCCTGGTGGCGTCGCATTTCCTGAACAAGAAGCTGGGAATTTGAGACTGAGCCCCGCCGCGACCAAGTTTGCCTCGAAGAATCCATGGCAGCACAGTGTTTGGTAAGGAGGCAGTCAAGAAGGGATACGGCAGTATGGCTATGGCTTTCATGAGAATCGGCTTTACAGATGAACGCAGTTCATAAACAAGGCCTCAGCTCATGTGCATTCGGGTTTGAGAGAGGGTATGAGGCAGGAAGTGCAATTACCTTAGCTCAGAAATCCTTATCATTGTGTTTCGAGGAGATCACAATATTCAGGCTGCAGTCCGTGACATGATGCCATTGATCGTCATTCTTGCAGGCATGCAGCGCTGCGATGGGACCCTCTCAGTTCTCATGCATGGCATTACATGAGTAGGTGTCCCTCGTTACTGTTGCCAAGCGATGATCACGGTCTAGTTGCTGCCGGGCATTTGGATCTGCATGATGTGAGTCGAGGGTTCGTGACAGCTTCACATTGACTGACTATCGTGATGTGAGATCCGAAAAAGAAAGGTACTCCATGAAAGCTAAAGATACAGCTAAATTCCAAAGACGAAGTGGATCCTCGTCATTCGGGTGAGATCCGCCCGCTCGGCTCGGCTTCCGATCGGCGGACCCTCGAGAAAGCGCCTTATCACGAGCAAATCCCACCGCCGGAAACGAAAAGATTTCGGCGCCGAATGCTTATCCCAGTGGCTTCGATTTCCGGTTTAAAGCCTTGCCTTAATTGTCTTGGGGCGGCATCGGAGCATTTCGCTGGGGTGGAAAAGCGACCAGGGGACTGACTAATTTCAACGGCGATATCGTCCGACGCAAACAGCGATAACTTGAGAGCTAAGAACCTTGTTACTCTTGCTCATGTCGCACACGTCACTTCAGTCGAATTCTCTTGATTGTAAGTTCGATTTTTGATTAAACACAAGTGACTAAATTAACACTCATTCTGTATACAGATTGAACGAACTTTTGCCAATTATAATGAGATTCATTCCAAGACACAACGACGATGACGACTTCGAATAAACGCCCAAGCAGCGAGCCGCAATGGCTCAAGACATCCATTGATGTTCTCCAAGCGATAAAGCTAGTATGTCCAACTCACAAATTCATCCTTTTTTCTGTAAAAGTAGCTCACTCATCTCGAACAGGCTGCGTCCCAGACGGCTCCGAAACTCCTCAGTTCGTGGCTTTACGTGCCCGCGGGCATCATGGTCATGCTGGCCGCTTGCTTCGGCGTAAGCGTCTTCTTCGACGCCGTCGGCGTTTCTTTCCCTGCCTCTGTGGCCTGTTTGATTCTGCTCTTCTTCGGTCTGTTGCTGTCGGAGCTGGTACTGGGAAATCACAAGACGAGAGCAATCGTTGCCGTCATTGATGTGCCAGTAAGTTCTTGCAATGCGATTGACAATGTTGGAAGCTAGTCGCTAATGAACCTCAGGCGGGATGGTCTCTCCGTTGGATCAACATCTTCTTCACACCATCGTTCATCATGTTACCTTTGAGTCCCTCAATCGGCATCGTTGAAGTCATGAAGATTATTGCTGTCTTCAGTGAGTCCCCCTCCTTCAATCCAATGTTTCGTGGACCTAACACCCCTCAGTCATTGGCTTCATCGTCATGATGGCGCTCGCCGCATACCTCACCCGCGGCCTCCAACTCCTCCTCGGCTCATCCAAACGCGCAATGACAGAGCGCGCAGAAGAAATGGGCAACGAGACCGACGAGATTCCCCTCGCCGACACCCCTCCGCGAATTGACTCCGTCCCGGGCTCCCGCACCATCTCCGCAGCCCCGTCCTCACTTTCACTCAACACCCTCGCTCCGCCGCCACCCTCCCAAAACGCCTCACATAACTTCCTCCCATCAGCAACATCATCCCCCACGAGAGTAACCGAAATTAACGTCGATATTCCCTCCTCTCCGCCAACACCACCTCTCCCACCACAGGACCCCGTCCCCCCGCCACGCTCCCAGCTCTGGGCAGCCTGGATCTGCGGTCATCTCAACTGGGTTCTCTACGCCTCCATCTTCACCTTTGTCGGAATCCCCCTTTACTACACAACAGGATACGCCATGCCCCTTCACCTAAGCCTCATTCTCCTCGTCTACTTCGCCGCCATGTCCGTCCCCGCAAATTGGAGGCAATACCTCCACCCCGTCCTCGTCACCGCCCTCTTCTCTGTCCTCGGCATCTGGGCCCTCGCCGCCATCCGAGGGGCCGGCCTCTTTGAAACCCTCCGATCATTCCGCACGGGGGCGAATTACACATACCTCTGGCTCCACGCCAAGAACCCGGAAGGCCGCCTCCCCGGCGCCGGCGACATCTTCAGCACCGTTCTCGATGCGAGTATTGTATCGCTCGCGTTGCCAATGTACCAATACCGCCGCGAGCTGAAGCAGAACTTTGTGGCGATCGTGTTGCCCAACATCCTCATGTCGATGGGCTGCCTCTTCTCCTATCCCAAGATCTGCTTCGCCATCGGCATCAGCGCTGAAAGGTCTCTCGCGTTCGCGTCGCGGAGTCTGACGCTTGCGCTGGCTCTACCGGCAACGGAGAACTTGGGTGGTGATTTGAATACCGTGGCTGCGATAGCTATTATGAGCGGTATTGTCGGTGTGCTAGTTGGCCAGCGGATGTTGGCCTGGATGAAGATTCCAGAAGGTAAGAGGCTGCCCACTGTGAGCGATGAAATAAGTGAACATGAGCAACTTACAGGAAGACAGATGACTACATCACCCGTGGTGTCACACTCGGAGCCAACTCCTCAGCCATCGCCACCGCTCTCCTCTTGCGAACCGATCCCCGTGCTGCGGCGCTATCAAGCTTGTCAATGAGCTTATTCGGCACCATTACCGTCTTGTTCACGTCCATCCCGCCCATCGCGAGCGTCATCAAATCTCTTGTAACCTGATCGTTTTCGATTATTGCTACAGCATCAAGCCATTCGAGTCTCCGCACTCCAAGCCTAGTCTACGCCGGAATACTAGGAGCCAACCCCCTCCAAAATCCACACCTGGCACCACGTCCACCCTCCCACGAATCCGCAGGGACAACCCGGATATCATTTACCTGTCCCGGCGCCATGAACTGCGTAACCCGCGCCCCCCACGAAGTCGTAAACTCGTACGGAACGCCGCCCGTCTGGTTCAGGTTCACCTGCTTCGGTGCCTCCTCCGTCCAGACAGGCCACTTGCTCGCCCCATTCTCGGCGCCCGCGTCGACACCGGAAGCTCCGTTGGCGATATCATTGCTGATGGAGGGGTCATCGCCCGTGATGAAGTTACCCCAGATCTTGCGGAAGGCGAGGACAATGTCCGGGCCCTGGTTCGTTGTCGCGGGGCCAAAGTAGCCTGGGATGTCGGCCGTGTGCCAGGCAAAGGGGACGGAGTACTGGTAGTGCCACGACGACTTTGGCGACGTGTAGGCGTCGGAGAGCCAGTAGCTGGGGCACACGAATGTTGCCTCGGCGTAAATGTTCTATTGCAGTTGTGTTAGACTTAGGGCCACGAGACATGGCAAGAATTCCTTACGTTTGCTCTTTGCTGTTGTCCGGTCCCAGATTGGCTCACGTCAAGGGCCGTAAGCCCCGTCAACCCGTTCGTCTCGAAGCCGGTATCGTTCGCGCCTGTCTTTGTTGGATTCGCGGCGAGGATCTCGTCGATTTGGCCCGCCGAGAGGTTGGGGAACTCGAGCTTCAGCCAGGACGTCAAGTCTGCGACGCTGACGATGTTGGGCGGGGTGAGGAGAGGTCCTTCATTGGCGTTATGCTTGCAAGGCTCGTCAGTTGCCGGCCAAGAACGTGGAGCTTCGTGGGGAGGATACTCACACCGACGAGGAGACGCTCTCCATTGACTCTTTTTTGCTTCATCTGCTCAGTCGGGAGGCTCTTGATGTATACGCCGTCCGTCACAGGGTAGAAAGCCCTGTCGTCGTCCAGTTAGCCGCGTTCAGGAAGGGCGAACCGCATGTCCTGAAAATCGATTACTTACCAGAACCCATACGGCTGTTCAAACGTGGTATTCGCACTTGCAAGCTGCAGCGTCATACTATCCTTCCCACGAAGACACGCAAGAACATCGACAGACGACGAGCACCCCGCCTTCTCGGCAAATGTCTGGTATTGCGCCGTCGGAAACGCCGCGTCATAGTCATAATGGAAGGGAAGATACGGCGAAGCAGCGATCCCCTAGCATCGAAATGAGTCAGCCAATCATCACCACAGGCTTCCATCCCGCAGCCTGTCAAAACTTACGTTCTTGAAGAGCGTCGTCCCCAGACTACCGTCCACAGCGAGAGTGTGATACATCACCGACCCGGCGCCCGCCGACTCCCCCGCAATCGTGACCTTTCCACGATTTCCGCCAAACCGGTCGATGAAGCGCTGGACCCAAGCAAGCGCAAAAGCCTGGTCCAGAAGTCCCGCGTTCACGACACCGCGAGCCTTGACGTCCGCGGAGGAAAGGAACCCTAACGCGCCGAGCTGTACATCGTTAGTATGCTGTCTCTCAACAGATCTCTCTCATCCACCACCAAATCCCGGGAGAAGAACAGACAGATACCCCCAAAAAGATACGGAAAAGCAAAAGAACATACCCGGTACTGAATCACAACAGCCACAAACCCACCCTCATTCGCCCCAATAATCTCCGACATGTCAATCCTCCCATCACCCCAGCCGTACCCGCCGCCGTGGATGTACACCAGCACCGGCAAATCCTTGGCGTCGGCGGGCGCGTACACGTTTAGGAGAAGACAATCTTCGTCACCGGGGATGAAGGGGAGACCCGGGACGGCGGGGTAGTTTTGCGGGCAGATGGGGCCGAACTCGGTTGCTGCCGTCACCGGGACCCCACCACCGGTGACCGTGTCGTTAGATGAAGGGAGACGAGGAGGTTGCCAGCGCTGTGAACCCGTCGGCGGAGCTGCGTAGCGGATGCTGGAGGGGTTTAAGTAGACGTCTACGAGACAAATAGACAAACATCTTACCCTTTCCAGATATTGAGGCCGCTGGTGGCGTTGTTGTACCCTTCATACTTGGCGTAGCCCAAATCTACAATTAGCGAGGAAGGCTGCCGCTGAGGAACATCGCCCAGACCCCGTGTGTCGACGAGCAGTCGATCCAAAAACGTGGCCGCCGCATCCTGCGATGTAGACGAGGGAAAGGCGCCCGAGAGGCAGGGCGCAATAAGTCCCGCGACGACTGGCGGTAGAGTCCTGAAGAGACGCATAGTTTATGGGTGAGCGAATGTGATGTTCGACGTACCGCGAACGAGTGACCGTGACGGGATCCGAAGGGAGGGAAGCTAGCTGTATAAGGACCTCGCAGAATGAAATCTCAAAGTCCTCCTCCGTCGTAGTTTGCATGTTCACATAAGCGGCAATATGCCGCACCAGTTATTGAAGTTTACTAATACCAGCCGGGGGGACATCTCCGTCACGATTCACCTTATTTTGAGTTTCCTTACCCGCACTGACTACCTAAACAAGCAGTCCAGGAAGGCCGGAACGCTAACGAAAACCTGGTTTGTTAATATAGACCAATATGCGTAAACCCCATTCCATGAACCCCAAGCCATTCTTCCCCGTTAATATCCAACAGCCGAGTCAATCGTAGCACGGTCCCCGATGCTTCGCGAATAGGGGAGGGGGGACTCTCGGTCCGTGCCATAATTCCCTGAATCGATTCAAGCTTGTCCAATGTTTGCTGACCTCGTTTGCTGTACGGATGATGCGATGAACAGCGGGGGAGCCACTGGGGGAGGGCATGTCAGCGTCACATCGGGTCGTGGTATGGACCTCTCTGGCGAAGACGGCAGCTTCCTATCCGTAGAAACCGAGCTTTAAGAATGCGGAATACGAGGAGTAGAAGCGAGGTGCCGACTTTACTACCTCTATGCAGTTGCCTTTCTATACTTGCCTAAAGTATTCAGGTATCAATATTAGGCCAACTGCTCAGGTTTAAATTAAGTAGTAGTAAGATGAAATTCTGCGGCGTAGAACGGCATACAACAGAAGCAGATTTGAACTTCAAACAGACAACGCTCTCTGAGGTGAATTATTGAGACTCGTTGAATACAGCACAGTCGTACAACGTGGAAACGCAAAGACAAAAAACTCCCGAAAAGCAACGGAAGTAAAGAGGCACCGGGTATCCAAATGATATGCGCTGCTTACCTTATATTATCGAACCCAAGTTCTCAGAATCCCACAACTTACAAGCTAGAACCCATCTCTATATGATTATGGAGCTCCCTTGAGCATTAGAGTTCAATCTCCACACAAAAAAAGGATCCTGAAGAGCAAGGCGGCATCCCCTGAACCTCCCTTCGTCCGAACATCTGTCCGTAGACGCCACGCGCGATCGACCGCGGAGCCACCGTCTCGATAAGAAGCAGACGTATTCTACCCATCGTCTTGTTGATCTGTCCCGGGCTTCCCCCCACTCGTCCTACAGTCTCCCGCAGGATCTCCCCGACACACACTAGGTGCGGGGTCTCACGCCGTCTCCCACAACGTTCCCGCACCTAGGGGGCCGTGCGCCACCGAGTCGGACGGCCGGGGCCGAGTGACATGCCCCACGCCGGTGATCCAGTGATGCTGCTGTTGAAGAAGTGCCTTAATAATATAGTACCTTGAGTCTTGATACTCCAGTCACTGCAAGATCAAACACGACAAGTCATAATCAGTAGCTCGCATTGTCTTAGTCGAACCTAGGCTATTCATAATCCAGCCAAATCAATTGCAATCCCAGCAACAAACCCGTCCAAATCATACGGGCGGAGTCTTTAGCCCGCCAGTTTTCTTCCCAAAGTTATTTCCCAACGTCATGAACCGTATATAATCATCCGCGTACCTCTGTCATCGCCTATTTGATCAAATAAGAAAGGAGACCGGGGTGCCTCATTTCCGCTCCTCAAAGTAGAACTTGCCGAGCTTGTCGCCGCCACCCTGAGGGCTACCAAGCGCGTTATTACCTACGCGTGCCTCGCCCCCATCAAGTCGCTCCCTAAGAAGACGCTCTGCGGTATCACGAGCTGTTGGCGTCGTGGCGGAGTTAGCTTGTGAAGATTGCTGGGGGAGCTGGGAAGCAGGGACAGGTGGCTTGTTGGTCGTGTCGACGTACATTTCGTCGCTAGGTACACCGGCACCATCATTGGTCGTACCATCCATCATCCTCGCATCCCGTCTTTCCTGCATTGCGGCCGCGCTGGTGGGAGTATCACCGCCCATTGTGACGTCGCGGGCCCGCTGCGTCGGCAAGCCGTCACTCAGACCAGAGGCACTCCGCTCCAGACCCCAGATACCGGCCTGGCCAGCGACTCCAGGAATGGGGCGACGCTGGTAAATGGGACCAGACACGGTACTGTTGGCGCCCTCGCCGAAACCAACAAGGCTGGCGGATCCATCGTCGCTCATGCGATCGTCGTAGCCTCCGGTGGACCCAGCCGTCTGGTCCTCGTCCATGCGTTCAGGCTCGGCGCCCATACTGGTAACCGAGTCGGCCTCGCGGTAGTTGGTATCCATGCTGAACATGTCCTCATCCTGCTCGCCAGGTGCGGTGCGAGTCTCGTTGTCGTCACCGACATAGCTCTCAGTCGCGCTGGCGGTACCGACAGTGCTCATCTTAGTAACAGCGGTGGGTTGGCCATGGGCATCAAAGTATGCGGGTGTGAGGTGAGTGTTGGGCGGGTAGTTGGCAGGGAAGCCGGTGGAGGTGGGGGTCGTCTGAGGAGAGATTGAGGAACCGGCATTCTGCTGGTGCGGCGGGGCGCGCAGAGTCGAGACTCGCTCTAGACCGGCGAGGCGGGAGATTCTGTCGGCGCGCTCGGCCTCGAGGCTCGTTGTAGAGGGGTGGTGAGCGTGGCCGCGGACACCGGCGGGACCCTGGGGAAAGTGGCCTCGGTGACCATCTTTGATAGCGGTGGTAGAGAGGGCAGAAAGGGAGGTCGTGGCGCTCGTGGGGGTGCCGCTGTGTGGGGAGATATTAGCTTGGGAATCAAGTGGGAGAGAGGAGGCGAGACAGCGTACGGCATCTCAGATGGAGTATCCGGGTTGGAGGTGGGAGGAGGGAGGTTGATGAAGGTAGGACGCGGTGCTTGCGCCATGGCTGCTAGATTTGACGTTGGTGTCTGGGATGAAGCGAAAGGGTGTCGATGAGGTCGATAGCGGAAGCCGTCGACGTTATATGTGTCGATGTTCGGATCGAGATGTGCTCGTAACCGGTTGCTCGTAAGTAGTAGATGCTCTTCGGGCAGAGATGGTTTGGGGGCGCTTCGTGGTAGACGATAGTTAAACGGCGGAAACTATCGGGTATCGTCGTCGGGTGTGTAGGTGGGCGTTACCTCCAGAGCCAGACAATGGAGGTGGAATGGTGGTATCTAGCACAGAGTCGAATGGGTATCGCAAAGGGAGCAATTCGCATGTGCGCTTCTTGTCGTCGTGTGAAGAAGAAAGGGTGACGAGGTGTGGCCGGAATGTGCAGAGTTCCAAGTTAGGTGAAGAAAGCCAAGTGACTGGATGTTGGACGTTCGCGTCAGGCAGGCGTGACAGGGAGACACTGAGGTTGGTCCCCTGAAGTCATGAAAGTGAAGCGCCCCAAGGTCAAGGTACTTGGGCTGTTCGTACCGAATGAGGTGGAAAAGCAAGGCAAGCGCTGGGCGTGGCTGGGTACCTTCCTTAGAAGCTACTCAAGGTACGTACAATAGGTAGACAGTGGGAGGCAGACACGCAGAAGGAACAGCAGGAGCAGAAAGGGCAGGAGCAAGGCGGGGGAGGGGAAGAGCACGCAGCAGGCGGGGGGACCAACGATGGGCAGGAACGGGGACGGTGACGGAGCGTCGGGTGGGCAGAGCACCTCAGGGCAAGGCAAGAGCACTGGGCAATGTCCCTTCCTCCCTGGACCTGCCCGCGCTACCAATGACGTAGACCCCGGTACCTTGAGTGCCCCGCTTACATCACCGGGAGCAGACACGTTCTACGAGCTTTGATTGGTTTATAAGACTCCTGTCGCGATTGGACCCCACCTATCTTGGACCCCTCAGGCTGGGAAAAAGGTACGAAGTGCATGTATCTTTTTGTGAACAAGAGACCCTGAATGCTTCTCCTCCACGTCCCTGCATCTCCTTCCCGTTGCGTGGGTTCGTTCTGTATGATGTTCATTTCCCATCTGCCTAACCCATGTACAATGATGGCATTTCATTCCATGCGATAGTCTCCTGTGCAGTTCACGTGTACAGTATTCGTACATACGAGCTGGATTCCAGGGTTTGAGACAAGATACTGCCCATCCTCTGAGTTACGACGTCTTAAAAAACACCCGGCTTAAAATCAGTCACCCTCGCCTTGATAATAGCCGACCCAACCTGCTTCATAAACGCCTGGTGCGCAGGGTCCTTGTGGAGGTAATAATCGCGGTCCTCAACGCTCTCAAACTCGGCCACAAAAATGTGCGTGATGCCGTCCTGCAGACCCTCGGGGCTACAGTCGAGGCCGCCGACCAGAGACTTGATGTACGACTTGCTAGACGTCGGGTGGATGCAATTCTCCTTGAGCGCCATCATGGAATCGCACATCTGTGTTTAGCGTCAGCCTGTGCTTCCGCAGTCAAGCTATTAAGCTCCCTGACACCAGGTCCGCAGGGTTGTGGCCAAACATACCGTCTTGACCTCCTCTGCTGGAATGAGCTCCTTGAACTGGAACTGGACAATGTGGATGACGGTCATTTTGGATATCAAGAGTGGGTTATGCAAGCGGGGGCATAAAGGATGAAGTTTAGATAAAGTAGATTCGAGCGGACCTTGGGTTGTTGATCAGTCGTTTGGGCTTCCCTTCCGGACGTCCTCACCCCGCCTCTTGTTCAACGCGGGCGGAGTGCGGAACGGCGGGGCATCGCCATCATATCCGTCATCGTCCCGTCTTGATGCGGGGTGACCTTCGGCCAATCATACATGCGAACCACAACCACCCGGCTGGTCCTCAATTGACCAACATCCACGCCTAATTGAGAGGCATGCATAAATGCACCGTGTAAGGGGTATTAAGGTGCTGTGTACTGGCGATGTACTCTCCCAGGTCTATCTTGTCTTCGGGTTCACGCTCTAAGATGCCTAGCATATCGTGTGGATGCAGAGTCACGTGTGGCTGCGCTAATCTCCAGCCGGGCCTTAGGAAGATGGGTTTCACCAGTTGCTAATAAGAAAAGCATTGCCTCTCGCATGGCCTTGGTTTTGTCATCGGTGCCGTCAGCCTCTTGGAAGCGTTTCTCAAATGACTCTTTGATCTTGTTTCAGTCTCTACAGACATCCTTCGATTGAGTGCCTGACACGGGCTGCCACCAATGATACATGCATCTTGTGGACAACTGTTGTGGATCGGCGCTTTTATATTATCACATCGTTTTCAATACCTATGTGTTCCAAGTATCAATCGATTCATCGCTGAATACGACCGGACACGTGCAATGCGGTGACCACTAACACTTCCCTCTCATCGATGTTCATTCATAAAAACTAGAAACCATCAAGGGGGACTAAAGATTCGACCAGGCCAGTCTTGAAAGAATCAATGAATACGACCCCGAACAGAGTATCGACTATCGTTCGCGGTCTTTCAAATCAGTGACAATGCTGTGCCTTTAACGGATATTAAACGTTGAGAAACGTACAATATCTCACGTACACGAGAGGAACTTAAGTTAACTGTTGTACGAAGAAATGACTCGAGCTATCCGGACCCTTGATCAAAAACATTTTAAAGTAATAATTTTCATTATTCTATCTCTTCCCCATCTCCTCCCCTCTCTTCCTCATTACAAAACCATCATCCATGGTCTTCCTCGCCAATTTTATCACCAAATCTATTCCGGCTCATCATACGGGAGCATTCAATACAAAGGAAAAATCTTTCTCACATCAAGCTTTTGCTATCAAGCCTGTGCCACCAAACTTATGCTCGTTGATGGTATCCCAAAACCACTGCAGGGTACAGGTTACAAGAACACAAGCATACCAATAGCAACCGCACCAAGAACGCTCATCAGCGGCATCACACTGACAGCCATCAGAGCGGGCTCGCCGGCCGTCACCACGGCGGTGGGAGACGTGGTGCCGGGGCGGGTGCCGCTGACGGTGGTGGGGACGGCCGGAGTGGTCGCGGGAGAGCTGCCGGCGGGAGGCTTGGTGGGGTTTGAGGGAGGGTTGGAGGCAGGGGGGTTCGCGGGAGGCTGCGCGGGCGGGCTGGCAGGGGGGTTGGAAGGAGGGTTGGAAGGAGGGTTGGAAGGAGGGTTGGAAGGAGGGTTTGAAGGAGGGTTTGAAGGAGGGTTGCTAGGAGGGTTGGAAGGAGGGTTGCTGGGCGGGTTGGAAGGAGGGTTGCTAGGAGGGTTGCTAGGAGGGTTGCTAGGCGGGTTGGAAGGGTTGGCGGGAGGGTTTGACGGGTTGCTGGGAGGGTTTGACGGGTTGCTGGGAGGGTTTGACGGGTTGGTAGGAGGGTTCGACGGGTTGGTAGGAGGGTTGCTGGGGTTGGTAGGCGGGTTGACAGGAGGCGAGGCCGGGTTCGAGGGCTTCGTGACCAAAGTCGAGCCACCAGGGCCAGTAGGGGTAGGAGTTCCCTGGCGGGTGAAGGACGAAGTAGTAGTCGTGGTGACGGTGCTGCAGACGGCGTTGTTGCAGGTAGTGTACGTCTTTGTAAGGGTCGAGCAATCAGTGTAGAAGGGTGCCTGGGTGCTCGTGGCGGGAACGTAGACTGGGCGCGTGTAGGTCGAGCAGGTGCCGTTGAAGTTGCAACGAGTGATGGTCGTCACTGTCGGGGGAGTGACGACGGGGGGAAGGGGGTAGGTGATTGTGGTGACGGGCTTGCAGTAGCCGTTGTAGCAGGAGGTGATCGTCACGCAAGGGGGCAGGGTGATGACATTGCAAGTGCCGTTAAAGTTGCAAGTGGTGGTTGTCACCGGGGGAGGGATGGTGATAGGGGCGGTTCCGTTGGGGAAGACGGGAGGAGTAGTGACGGTGGGATCAACCGGGACAGGGATGACGGTGGTGCTGTTGTTGGGAAGGGTCACGGTAGAACTGGTAAAGGTAGGGAGAACGCCGGGGTCGGTGGTGTTGAGGACCGAGGTTGTGAGGATGGTAGAGGTGACCACGTCGGTGGTGGTGGTCGACGTGGTGGCGACGCCGGGGTCCGAGGACGTCGAGTCGGTAGAAGTCGAGGTCTCGGTGGTGCTCGGGACGGTGCTGGCGCCGCTGCTGAGGGTAGAATCCGTGGTGACCGAGGTGCTCGTGGGAGCAATAACCGTGACGGTAGAGCTGCCGACACTGGTCGCGATGGAGGTGCCGGTGGAAGCCGTGCTGCTGGAGCTGGCGGAGGAGGTCAGAGTGGTGGTGGTGCCGCCGCCGGTGACCGTGGTCGTGGGGTTAGCCACGGTCACGGTGGTGCTGGGCGTCACGGTCGTAGTCGGAGCGACGACGGTGGTCGAGGTGGTCGACTGGCCGTTGACACCGGCCAAGAGGGCGGCACCCGCGGCGAGGCGGATAATGGCGGGAGAAACCATCTTGATGGTTTGTAGATGTAAGCGAGAGTGGTGGTTGGTTCTGTTTGACTAGACTCTTGATCTTGAGCTAGAGAAAACGAAAGACGAAAGCGAATGTTGAAGCAGAAGTTCAGAGAGAAGGGGGGTGTTGAAGCTGTGTTTGCTGTGATGAGGATAAGAAGAAAAGACTGATATCGGCTGGGTTCGAGGAGACTTGATATAGCCGTTGATCGTGTGGTGCAAGTCTGCCCATCCTCCTGAGAACATTACCGAGAACGTCGGTGGGACCATGCAGGAACAGTTCATGAGCTCCATCCAAAGTGGAAAATCTTCGGCCAAGAGCATCGTGAAAATTCACAGATCTCGAATATGGCTGCATGCGGCAAAAGATGTTGCCAGCTCCTCGTGCACTCTGCCAGTTCGGACCGTTTTGGCGTACGCCATAGTGGGCAGTTGGGACTGGTAGTTGGACGGATGTGGTAAGAAGAAGAGGTATTTTTGGGATGAACCTGTAAGCGAGCATGGCTTACACGCGAGTGGTCCAGGGAAGAGAGTTGCGCCGGGCGAGGTACGGAACCAGGGGAGAAGAGCATTTCGTCGGATCCGGATAGATCAGAGGCAAGTGCGGTGGGTTTGGTGAGGTAGTTGTTCAGAGTGAGACATTGCGCGATGGATCTGGTGGATATCTTCAGGTGTGAGGAATGTTGGTGATCGCTGCGACTCTGCGCGAGGCGATTCAGAGTGAGACAAGACTGGCGAGGGGAAACGGAAGGCGACTGCAATCCAGGGCAACGAGAGGGACAAGCCAGCGTATCCGTACGGCCCGGATCATGTCTCTTCGGTGCCGAAGACAGCCTTGCTCACGTCCAAGCCCTATGAGAACGTCATCGCCACTGTCTCGCCGTGAGACAGCCGGTTCCCGAAGTCCGGTGTACTCAGCATTCCAGCCTGGTCCCGGGACGATTGTCCATGGGGAAGGAGATGGATTGTTCAGTCATCAACTGCCGCTCATGGTATCCCGGAGGAAATTCTGGTGGATTCCTTCGTGTCCATCATAAACTACAAGCTTAAAGACCTAGTAAGAAAATCTAGTTAGAACATTCACATTAATCAGACTTATTGCCCTCAAACCCTCATTGGCCCCGAACTCAAACCATGGAAAATCTTTCGTCTGTTGTGTGAATACGAGGAGGAAATATCTGCTTCATGGCCGCAAACGGCAGATTGTCGATGAAAATCGTAAAAGTTCTTCCGGAGCTTGGCCGTACTGAGATAAACGCGCTTTCGGTCCTTTGACGCCGCATCCACTCTCATGATCTACGGCACCCTCCATCTCCCCACGTGTGGGTGGGTGGAAACGGGATATGAGTTGGTTGCGCGATGTTGAGAGAAGCCACAGAGCGTGTCATTGAGTCTTGTGGCGGAGCGCCGGAGTCAAGGGGGAAAGCCAGTTGGACCCGGCTGGGAGGGTAGTGGCTTGCGCCGTGATCGGTCGTGTCGACTGGTAAACCGTAAACGAAGTTCCTGAGACATCAGCTCGTGTTGCTGGAATGTGGCCGATTGAGGATGAAGATCTCGGATTGTGAGTTTGTGTGCTGCCGGCTGAAATGTCATGGAGAGTGTGGTACGATGGGTTCCAACCCCTGGCAACTGCCGAGGCGGAGATCTGAGAACTGACCGAAATGTGAAGCTACGTCTGGCTTGAACGCTGTCCTGCGTCGTATCCCATAGTTGGCGAATAAGCGTAGCAGACTGATCTTTGGGTCAGCGGGGAAACTGCCAAGACGAAAAGCATAAAAAATATGAAGTAGTAAATGTGAACCATGTATTCATCTAGATTCCTGGACTGAGCTCTGCCTCCATGCAAAACGCCCTGACAAATGAAAAGATATCCAACCTAATCTATTCATACATGACGTAATAGTCTTTCTTAATCATCCACTGCTCTCCCCGGCGTTGCCGCTCACAACTTCATACCAAGTGCCTTGTGCACACGCATGCTCTGCCGGATGCTCAGGTCGAGCATAATCTCCTCACTACCACCGGGAATGGCGTATGCGCGGACGTCGCGGTACAGTCTCTCAACCTTGCCGCCCTGGCCACCGCGAGAGTACGACAGACCACCAAAGATCTGCGACGCCTCACGAGCACAGAACTCGAAGGTGACGGTGCTCTGGGCCTTGAGGCCGGCAATGGCACCACCAAGCTTGAGCATGGCCTCGGTTTCACCCATCTTCTGGCACTGGAAGATGAGGTTCTCGAGCCATGCGTACGAGGCCTCAATCTGGCGGGCCATATGTGCAAGCTTGAGACGAATGACGGGATGCTCGTAGAGCTTCTTGCCAAACGTACGACGCTTGTTGGCGTACTTGACGGACTCCTCGTAGCACACACGAGAGAAGCGCAGGCACTGGATGATGATACCGATACGCTCGTGGTTGAAGTTGGTCATGATGACTGGAGTATGTTAGTAGGGGATACGGGGCAAATTTGGGGGAACGATTACATGCCTCTGAAGCCCTGGTTCTTCTTGCCGAGCAAGTTCTCAACAGGTACCTTGACATCCTCAAAGGTGATGTAGGTGGTACCGCTGGACCAGACACCCTGGCAGTCCATCCGTCTTGTCGTGACACCAGGTCCTCTCTCGATAAGCAGCAAGCTGACACCGTTCATGCCTTCGCCGCCCGTACGGACGGCGGTAGTGAAGTAGTCGCACCAGATACCGTTAGTAATCCACTTCTTCTCGCCGTTGACGATGAAATGCTTTCCATCCTCGCTAAGCTTAGCCTCGCAAGTCAAGTTGGCAACGTCAGAGCCGGCATCGGGTTCGGTAATGGCCAAGCAGATGCGCTTGTCACCGTTGAGGATGCCGGGCAGAATACGGTCAACGAGAGCCTTCTGGCCAAACTTGACCAGGGGCGGGCAGCCAATGCCGAAACCACCAATGACGTTCCAGACAAAGCCACCTGATGCTGCACGAGACAGCTCGTCGGTCAAAAGCATCTCATGGAAGAGATCCCAGTCCTCAGGAGCCACCGACGCAACGGTGTTGTTGGTGTACTGCGTAGGGTAGTGGACACCGAGCAGACCAGCAAGGTAACCGCGCTCACCCATCTGCTTGTAGATGGCGGGATCGACCTCCTTCTTCTCATCCCACTCACCAACGAAGGGCTCGACATTTGTCTCGACCCATTCGCGGATCTCGGTGCGGAGGGCAGCGTGTGTCTCGTTGTAGTAGGGAGTGTGGTACTGTAGGCAACATGTCAGTGGATGCTAAGCACCAGAGGATACTTGGCAATTGAACTTACAGCCTGGTACCAGTTGGGGTCGGCGTAGGGAACCAAGTCGCCAAAGGGATCCATTGGCTCGGACTCTTCGGTGCTGCTGGCAACGACCTTCTTGGGGGCGGCCTTCTTGGGCACGGGAGCGGCGGCAGCAGGTGCCGCTTCGACGGGCTTAGGCTTGGAGTCGAGGGAGCCGACGTGCAACTTGGCCTTGTACTTCTTCAGGATACCTTCATTGTGGTACTTCCAGAACTGCTTGGAGGCGTCCTTTCCGGCAACGCGCTGGAGGATCTTCTTACCACCTGAGGAGGTCAGTCAGAGAGGCGTACGTGGGGTCATTTCGGAAAGCAGAGGCTGGAGCAGAGGCAGAGAGAATGGCAGAACTGAACATACCTGGGTGGTCATCCTGGAACTTTGTGAGGTCGTAGACATCGCCGTCGACGATGATGAACAAGTCGTCAGGCTTGTTGTGCGACGCAACGTCGCCAGTGGTGAATGTCTTGGACATTGTGACCGGTGATTACTCTGTCGTACGATGCTGTGGAGTATGTGGGTGCTATCTACGGCAGACTCTCGTCGGATGGGTATTCGCCGTTTGACTGTGGGATGACAGGAGAGATGAACCAGGGGAGAGAAAGACGAAGAAGGACGAGGGGGATAACAATGTTTAAAGAGGTCTTGCCGGAAGAGGATGTGTCTGGGGAAATGGTGTCAAAGAAACGAGTCGCGACGGCCAAGGTCGGCAAATGGGCCAGCAGCTCAAGCGCAGGCCAGACAATCACATGCTTGCGGACGCGGGAAGGTAAGCCCAAGGTAAAATGGGAGAGGCACCTGCCCTTTGGTTTCTGGGAGAGGGTTACCTTCCATTGGACCTGCTTACCCAGGAGGGTTTAGGTACGGAGTACATCCAGGTTGGCTGGGGAAAGTACCCCTTCCCGCCTCGGGGTGAAGCTGGGGTGCAGATGGCCAGCAAAGGTACCTACCTCTTTCGACGGGCTCTCGTCACCTTGCACGTTTGACCCAGGGGATGCGTGTGCGGACACAGCCGCAGCCTCAGTGCAGCACGACGGGACATGCAAGTAAGTACCTTTGCGCCGAGGCATTGCAACGAGTCTACCTGGATAGCAATGCAATCGATTACCGGCACATTGTGTTTTGTGTGCAGCCTCCAGGCTCGCGAGGCCATTCAATGCAGTCATCCATCTGTGTTTGTTGGCCTGAAGATTCTCCAAGTTCCCCCACACCTCTCGAGGTCGCAGGCAGAGATACTGGTACACTACACATCAAGCCAGAAACAAAAACATGCGGAAATTCGGGGACGGGCCCTTTGTGTGGGGAAATCTGCAGTACGGAGTAAGTAAGGATACTAAGGCCGCGGGTAGCATCAGTCACTGAAATTGCGGCGGACACGACTGGCCATGGCCGAAATCAACCACAATCAAGTGCCATTGGATTGGTTCGGAGGATGGCGAACGGGAAACAGACTCCAGAGTGAGCTTGGGGAGCCGTCGCACTAGTCCCCATTGGCGACATTTAGGTGCGCTAATCCGTGTCATGTGGTCTCGTGCAGCCTCTCCCCAGTCCCAAGTTTGCGCGCCGTCCATTGTCTTTTGTTTTTTTGTCGCCTGGCGTGTGAAAGACCCCTCTGGCCTGGATCGAAAAGTTTACAAGAATGCGACTGGTGCTCAACTGCAGCCGTGTGTCTTGGTGCGACTCTCCCTTTGCGCAACATGTGAT